AAAAAGTATGTATGTTAATTGTTTTTGGATTAGTTTTTAAATGGATTTAATTTTATCAATATAATCTACAAAAATATATATTTATATGTTTTAGTGAAACTTTTTTACACAATAATATAATTAATAATTAAGATTATACAATAATAATAGCCAAACTCGCATTTTTCAATAATTATTTTGGTATATTTACTCATAAGTGATGCAGTATTTAAACATAATATAAGGAAAAATATAAACAAATTGTAAAAAATAAATAGGAAGATCAAAATTACGCAAAATAATGGTTGGAAAATAAGACCAAGTGATATATCAAACATTATAATAAAAAAGTATGAATGAATTGTAAAAAATATTTATTCACGATAAAAAATACGCAAAGTGATATAACAACTATAATAATGACTAAGTATGAGTTAATTGCAAAAAGTATATATAAGACTACTGGGGAGAACGCACGACATACGATAAAAATCGTATAGTGGGCGAGCGCCCATTTGATTGTGTACGCCACTGCGAGTGAAACAGTCGTACGACAGTCGTGGATCACAGTGGCAGTGGACGACTGCTTCACGACAGTTTGTCGTAGTCGTGCGTACAGTGGGCGAGCTCTCATAAGATCCAATGGTTCACTGTGGAAATGTTGTCGTTCCGACACAGTGTCGTACGACCGAAATCGTATAGTGGGCGAGGGGCCTAACATCAAACGCCAATCGTATGCCGTTTCGCCACGGTCGGTCTTGGCCCGTTCTCTGCCGAATCGACAAATCGGATCGTCCTAAACGCTCGGCTCTCCCTCTGGAACCAATCACAGACCGCTGATCCGAGCCGCGAGTGCAACAGAACCAATCCTGACCGGTCTGTGATCAGGAGAACAGAGGACAGAAGAAACGCAGTTGCAAAGAGTCCGTTTTCACCACATTTTACTTTGTCAGGACACCATTGTGAAAATAAAGTTACTTGTTATTAAAATAGTGGTCTATATTCATTGGTATAGGACGACTAGGACTAAGAATTTAATTTGTATTGACAATATTTCTAAGGAGATTATTTTCTGTCTAACGATTAACTCTTCTGTAGTGTTCGTAGCATAATAATCTAATAATTATTTATAATAAGTTTTATTAATTATTTTACACATCTTAGTAACTTACTGTTGTACAACGGGAAAAGTGTTTATTACAAGTTATAAGTAAACAATCACATGCACACACAACATGCGCAAGTTCCCAATTTTTTTACACTTAGCTAATTCATGTGTTTACTTGCATATAGTATTTGTATTTCTGCAAATTATGACAGTTTTGTTAATGAAAGTACAATTAATTAGTAGACCCTACCACTGTCCTATTAACTGTATTTTTTCAATTAAGGAACGTTATTAGATAATATGATTGTGTTAACTTTATATGATAACTCAATAAATAACTTGTTAAACTAAATTAGGTGATACAAGTTGGTTATAGGGTTAAAGTGTAAAATATGATTGATTTCGAGTTTAGTAATTTATCATACTTTGGACTTGATTTTGTTTATTGTTGTTGAGAAAAACTGGCAGAATTTTTCTTTTACAATTAATTGTTGAATCGAGCACAAACTTTTAATTCGCTTATTCCAATCTATCAATCCAAATTTGTCAATAAACTTGTTGTTTCGCTTCTAGTACTTCTACCAATTAATTATACAAAATCGCCGAATTTACAACCTCAATTAGCTAGGCCTACTTGGACCCCTTGAAACCTCACCCGTTCTAGTTTGATTGGATTATAGCATGAATAATAAGTGATGTTAAAATTTATATTAACCTCAATAGCAGTATAAATGCTACCACTTTTGCTTTGTAAAGAATGATTTGATTACAAAACGTTTAGTAACACATCTTCTCAGTTTCTGTCAGCGCTCATTGAACGCATTCAAAGTGACGGAAGTAGTCTTAATTAAAATGCAAGAGCCAATTGTAGTATCCAAAAGTAATACTAAAATATAGTATCTTTCACTACTAGTCACGAAAGTGACTCACTTCGGGGCACGGGGCGAAATAGCTTTTCCCATGCTCGTCTTCGACTCACATGCAACATGCAAAACATTACTGTCTCGTCCCGAAATGGGACTTTCGTGTCGAGTTTTGAACGATACTTTTTATCACGATGAAAAAATTCCTTCATGAAACTTCTGATATTTCGTAATCTATTAATTTTTCTAATACAAACACAACTTTCTTCAGTTGTAACCACGATTACTAGAAAAATACTGGTATGGATCATAAACATAAACAAATGACGATTTTGGCTCGAAAATAAACATTATTTAACATTGCTTAAATGGAACTGCCAAAACATATGTTCAATGCTATTAGTGTATAGGATTCGGGCCAACAACGTCATTTGTTTATGTTTATGATCCATACCGCTATTTTTCTAGTAATCGTGGTTGTAACTTTATTGATGTCAGGCAAAGTAATTGTGTTAGTGAAAGTAAAGTTTATGTCAGGAAAAGTCAGCTGATCACTATTTGTTTTTTGTGTATGGAAATTGACGATTTTCAAAGAGCTCAGCTGTATGGAACTGGGCTGTTTTCGAATATCTACTAACTGAGTGATAAAAGTTAATTCTAAACCCGTTTTTATTCCAAACGCAATATGATAACCAAACAAAAGTGCCAATGTTATGTTTCTATATGTGAAAAGACAAATAAATAAAATATTAAATAAATAAGAATAACCTAAATAAAAAAAATACAAACAGTTTTCATCCTGACTTTTAAAACTTAAAAAATACTAACTAAGGTAATTTTTTGCATGCTTAATAATTTGAGTTGACAGATAAGTACTGTGATGGGAGATAAACATGTGGTTGAAGACGGAGAGTTTTAAATGTCCGCCTGTGACCGTTCCGCTGCTACCATTGGCGGACCGGGAGAATGCGGGCCAATCACCATGCAGCAAGTTTATAAATGACCGGGAGGACGCGCTCAGAGCCAATGTGTGACGCGTTGGTATCAGGATGGCAGAGGTGCGTAGCGGCCCGCAACAGCTGTTCGTTACAGCGCGCCACAAGTCATAGCCCGACCCATCCACGGTAATTTTTCACAGATTACATAGGATATAATTACACATTGATTCTGAAAACGACGATCCTCGCTGGGTGATAAATATCTAGGAAAGTCAGAAAACGCAATACTTGTACCTACATAAAGGTGGACGTACCAAGTGAAGCTGGTAAGTGTGTGTATTGAAATTAAAATTTGAATTTAAAATTGATCATCATCATCATCAGTCTTGTCTAGTAAAATAATGCATTAAAATAAATGCATTTCAACAACAATTCAAAAGCTTTACATTTACCCTATTCTCAAAATAAGTTTCCACTGTAGGCCTACAGTAGGGTAGGGGGGTAGGAAGTGCACTAGGTTAACAACTGTACTTATTCAGAGGCAATTTTTGGCTCCCTTCATTGAGTATTGTCAAGAAATGCGTTAAGTAAATTGTAGAAAATTGTTTTACAGTATCTTTCGGAATATTATCTTTAACTTTGGTCGATTTCCTCACCACTTAAAAGTTATTTGCAAAAACGTTAAGCAACCTCAGAATTTATTATTGTGGTGAAAAAAGTTGGCGATTTCTTTTTAACTTTGTTTTGTATAGTTAAATTTAAAGTTCTATTGGGTAGATTTTGTTAATAATGTTTCGCTGGAAGGCAAGGCATTGCTTTTTCATTTGATGTGTAGTTTATAGCGGTAAGTTTAATGGTTTAGTATAAAAGCACAGAAAACATACTATCATTGACTATTATTTATTTATTTATTCCAACGGGAACACTATTGGACTATTGGATACTTACTATGTACTAGAAGTTATAAAGCTTTAAAACCCCAATATTCATGTATAAACACCCAGTACATACAGACATTGACTATATAACTATGACTGTAATCTGCGGGTAATTTTTGGTGAAAGTGGTTACTTTAGGCCATCGATCTCGATCTCTATTACGCCATAACCGCCATTGTTGCTTAGTTGTATATATATATATGTTTAGTGTTTTTAATGTTTTTTAATGTAAATAAGACGAAATCAATACAACTTTGTTGGTCAAGGATGAAGTAACCAAGTATCAAGTAAGTAAGTACAGTACAATTAAATAGAGATCGATGCTTTGCTTTAGGCCAGGCGCACACAGGCGATTTTGAGTTGCGCAACAGTTGCCCGACTAATCGGGGGACTGTTGCGCAACTCTCTCGGAGACTCTGAAGTCTAGCGACAGTTGAGCTGGAGTGCGCACACAGGCAACTTTTTAGTCGCGGATCTAGTCTTGAGACGTGTTGGAAATACATTCGTTACAGCGTTCCGAATGGATTTCAATGATACAGCCGTAGTATGTGCTTTGTTGCTGAAGTTTCGCGCGCGAAAGAAAAAGAGAAGATACTGGGTTCATCCCATATATATAGTGAGCGACTTGTGAAAGGACAGAGTCAATGACTTTAAATATAGTCGGCCTCTTCTCAACTTCATCAACTAATTGTTCGACATCCTCACCACGCACACTCATACTTGCAATTTTCTAAAATCTTCACACAACAAGAGAGCAAACACTAGTGACAGTTCTGGCCACGAGTAGTTGAATTCCTGGGGTGAGACTGAGCGACACAGCAACTATTTAGTTGCATGTGTGCGCATCTACACTTGTTTCAATGGATACCAAACCTGGAGCGACAGTCCCGCAACAATTCAGTCGCAGAGCAGTCGCTGGCAAATTGGGTCCGGGAACATCGGTTGCAACAGTTGCGCGACTGTCCCCAGACTGTTTCCTTCGTGTGCGCACTCCAATTTAAAACAATGTTGAACATTTTAGTCGGGCAACTGTTGCGCGACTCAAAATCGCCTGTGTGCGCCTGGCCTTAGGCAGGTTGGCAGGTTCAGTGGACAAGTGGAGGAGTTGGCAAACCTGACCAACAATTGCGTCTGCGCCGTCTGCTGACTGAGTGACTGACCGACTGACAAAAGTTTGAAAAAAGAGGTTATGTATTTGTTTACTGTCACACTCACACAAGTAAGTTAGTTATTGGAAAGCAAAACAAGACATAAGTTAGAAAATTTACTTAATCGTTTGTATATTTGCTGAAATGATAAAATGACCTCACCATAAACATTTGCAGTCTTATATTTTCTTTGGAAAGAAGGTTATCTAGCATCAAGTCAAGTGATAAACAAGTTAGATCTGTTGGTTGTATGTGTATCATAACAAGACATGTAAGTAAGATTAAGGTCTATTCATGTCATACTTAATGCACGTTAAGTATCAACATACTATCTTACACGATTACTAGAAAAATACCGGTATGGATCATAAACATCAACAAATGACGTTTTTGGCCCGCTATCTTATAGTCCTACTATAAATTTCTATTACAATCAATATAGTTTAAGTTTTATTTAGGCAAAGTTTCCTTGTTGATCAAATCAATACTTTTATGTTCGATTATGGAGTCGGATAATCGAATATCAAAGTTTTGCCACTTTGATTTACAAGATGGGGTAAGTTACAGTTTCTTAACTGGGCTACGCTAATATCGATTGAAATTATCGATTAATAATCGATATATTTAACTATATCAATTATAAAATTAAACTGTCATAACCTAACCTAACTAACCAAACTTGCTGATAATGAAAAAATCGAATGAAGGTTTACTAATCGAATTGATAGTTTCAATCGATATTAGCGTAGCCCAGTTAAGGAACTGTACCCCATACACTAGATCAAACAAAAATATCATAATTTCATGAAAATATTTAACCTAAACCAGTTGATATTTTCAATTACGACTAGGGCCTTCTCAACTGTTAAAAGTGTCATAAAATGCTTTATATCCTAACCTAACCACCTTGAATTGCAATAAAAACTATAAAGTAGGCTATGAAGAGTTTTTAGTACAGTAGTCCTATTATTCATCAACGGATTCACCATTTACAAATAATATAGGCCTACGTGTTTTACACACTTAAGAGCAGAATGAAATGATATCAATTGCATTGCAAATAACAAAAACAGCAAGTTATATATTTAAGCTTTGAAAAAAAAACAACATTGCAACAAAAATAGCAACAACAAGACATCAACATTGTCAATTTGGCTAAATATTGAGTTAATTTAATCACAGTAAGTTATCGAAGTTCTGCTAAAAATGACCAAACCTACTTTCTGAAGTTTATATGAGTTCAGAAAAGTCTAGTAAGTAATTATCTTGTAGGGCCTAGATCAAGAACTCTTTTGGTTATTCAATTATCATCTCTTATTCTATTGAACTTTAAGCTCCGTAAGTTAAACTAATTACAGGTACCTAAACTTACTTAGGTCGAGAACACTGATCATGTGTATTTACGAAGATTATTGTGGGCTTCACTCACCTTTATTTTTGTCTGTGATGTTCAGGACTCGTTAAAACACATATATACACACAACACGAAATCGTCCATGGCTTAAAAAATCCGATGTTTAGCGGAACTCAAAACGACTCAGAACCAGATCAGAAACAGAACTGATCATGTGGTTGTAAGTTAGGTGATAATTACCAGAACTGTAAAAAGAAAAACAATGTTTGGGAAGTTAGGCTCTATAGTTTTAATGTTTGAAAAATCTAACGTAATTTAGGCCTAGACGTAAATTTACTTATGTTTTATTAAAATAGAATAGGCCTTAGAAACGTTGTTGCTAAAAACAAGGACTCCCGTTTTTTTGTAAACAATCAAGTATTATTTATATTTAAATTATTTTATAGTACTTTGCCTGTTTTATTCGAAGTAATTTTTTCCTGGTATAAAATTGACTTCTAAAAGGGTGCTCTTAACCCCCTTTTTTCCAGGATTGACACACTAATGTAGACAAAGTAGCGGTAACCTATTTTTAAATCCCAATATAATCTGCACTAGTACGGGCTGTCCAGTAAGTAATCTTGTAGTCAGAGATTCAGATTTTTAGTCTATTAATGGTAATTTTCATGTCATCGGATGTCTGTACATCTTCCAGTCCAGTTGTGTTGCTTTTCAAAAAAGTTGTGAAATATTATGTCAAAAGGTTTTAAAACTTAAATGTGTGTTCAGCTTCACTTTTGAGCAGAGCCTAAAAGCTCAAATGATTGAAAAGCTTAGACAGAAAATCAAGCCAGCTTTTTCTCACAATGTCAAAACTTATTGCGATTGCAGAAACCATCTGCAGAAATTGCACAGAAAATTCACAAAATGTCTCTGCTATCAGGGGTAATTGTTATGTTTTGTCGTGATCTATATAACTTACCCAATTTTTACATTTTCCTACAACATTTTCCAAACAAGTCGTCAGCTTTTTAAAGTATATTGTACAGAGTAATATTTAGGTTGTGAACTGTCTTTGTACAGAACATACATTAACATGATGTTGAATAGGTAATTCATTTGAGAGATTAAACAGGTTCAATTTATTTTTTTATTTTTCAGGAATACAGAAGCAAAACATAATTTTGACACAAGTTTCGTCTGTGTTCAGTACCCAGGAGTTGTAAAAAATGATGATAAAATGCTGGAGTCTATGGGAGGTATAAAAAAAATCTCGAAGGTAAGAGTTGAAAATTATTAACGATAAGTTTAACTGTTTCTGTGAGGGTAGAAGTTAAGGTAGCCTTCTTAGCCTAGGTGTTCTATGGATACGTGGTATTATGCATGGTCCACCTGCATTTTTATAGCTCTCGATGAAACAATTTTTTTGTATCAGTGGCTGTTGTTTAATACTGTATAGACCTAAATCTTCTACCAAAACCAAAATCCTTTTTTGGGGAATCACTGGAGATGTCTACCCAAGACGTTGAATTTTCCATAGGAAATCCTACCATCCCTTCAAAATGGCTGGCTGGAGCATTATTAGAACTTAAACATAATTGTTTGAGGTTATACAGTCAAAGGTACAGCATAATACCGGTACGGCAATTAAAAATACAGACTAGGAAACTTCTAAAGTTATTTTTTTTAAGATTTGTTCACAAATTGGTTTTATCAGTACCTTTTTGGTTAATTCCTTTGATACCTAGTCAAAAATTACTAGCAAAGAGAATGTTATTATATACCTAATATATTTTATTAAAAAAAAGCTTTGGGGAGCAAACTCGTCTAGTTGGGGTTTCGATTCTTGAGGTCCTGGGTTTAAATCCTACCAATCACCAGATGTTCTGGTGTGTTTGCAACAATCTGATATATTTTGATGAAGCACCTTAAGACCTTGGTCCACCCTTTATAGAAAAGAGGTCTTTTATTTTGACCATTACTATTTAATGTTTTCTCTTGTGATTGTATGTATCAACAGAAAGATGTAGCTGATAACAGTATGTTTTACCAGGTATATTCAGAGAGAAATCGCAGGCTAGAGCTTCGGTTTCGCCCAGACGATGTGTATTGTCGACCCGCTTGTGCTGATAGACAGAAGGTCACAGGACTTTTGATGTCCGTCAAAGTAAGAAGAAAAAAGAATAGTGGAGAAATAATAAATATAACTCCCACTGTGTTAGGCAAAGTCTGTGTAGCGTTCAAATTCACAAGTAAGTTAAATCTTTTATTGTTGTATATGGTTATAGGCTTTAGGGCTCTGTTGGTATTGACTAGGATGTATATTTTGGGCTCAAATAAATTTATTGGACCACTGACTTCATAAACTGGCTGGATATAGTGCTTGCCTCCTGAAGTCCACCAATTTTAAATTAAATTGGGTGTTTTGCTAGCCTAGTGATTGGTGTAGACTTCAGTGTGGGAAGGCCGGGTTCAATTCTCCACACATCCACAATCCTATGGGTTTGGACCACTTTCCCTAAAAGTGTTTCACTAACACTCTCTTCTCTGAAAAGAGACCACCGGCGTAGACAAGAACAAACAAAACTTATCTGATAGCATTTTAAGGTTTGAAAAAATTTTAGTTTTCAATATTAACTGAATGGAGAACTCTAGTACCGGTTCCTTAATAAGTATATTTTGGGCTCCATTCTACAACTGAATCCCAGATAAATAGGGATTATTGTTTGTTTTAGGTTTATGTGACTTTCAATACCTGGCTATGGACAACTCGAGTGGTCAAATGGAATGTATTTATGACAAGTTGGTTCCCAAAGGTATTTTAACTCCCGAGTGGTTCACACAACCAGCCCCGTATTTCCTACCACCTGCTACGTTCTCCAGAATGGACACTGTACAGGTAAACCAATGCTCGTTAGATTTAGTGTTCAACATTTATTGAGCTTTAACTTTTTACCATAGTATACACACCACTTGGCCGCTTTGAACAGTAGGAGTTAGTCATTTTCCCATAAAAACCTGGGATTACTAAAATAAAATAAAAAATTCGCTTAAATTATGATCAGTATGTAGCAGCCTATGTAGAGTTGTATTGAAAGAGAGGAGTAAACACATCGTCTAAGTTTTAGTAGAAGTGTTCAAGTAAGTAATAATCAAAACTAGGGATCAGCTAGCTTAACTGGTAGATAGAGTCCAGATTAGCTTTGGTAATACACAAAAAACAAAACAGTAAAACTTAATATTTCCCTGTTACTAGGAACTTCCTCAGAAGGAAGAAAAAATAAGACTGGCAGTTAAAGTTCAAATTTAAAAGTTCCACAAAAGTTCTGCCAACTCCAAGGATGAAATATTAAGTTTTACTGTTTTGTGTGTGTTACCAAAGCTAATCTGGACTCTTATCTACCAGGTAGAGCTGATCCCTATCCTTGTACATAATAATCCTAATCAGCCAATTGGCTTTTCCTTCATTTCTAATAATCAAAACTGACTTAAAAACGGTCTTTATTAGGAAATAAATAGATAGCTCGGTCAAGTTTAAACTGGAAGAAATTTGTTAGGAAAAGTAAAATCATACAGAAAAGTATTACATCCAACAACGTAAAATTACTAAAAAAAACATTATATCCAACAACGCACTTAAAAAATGTTATTTGGAAGCATTGGGACGAGACCCAGTCACTGAAAGTGCTTTGCCCTTGGAATGAGGAGCCTGTTTCTATCTACAGTATTTCCCCAGGTGAAATATTTATAATGTACTAGGAACAAACAGCCTTTACGAAAGCAAACCACACTTAGATGGGAATGCCACTAAAACAATTGGAGATTATACTGTTCTGTCCGATTTTAAACAGCTATTTTATTTTTACAAGTTCCTTTTACATTGCTCCCTAATCGTTGGTGTCATAATAAACCTGGTAAAATATGTCCGATGATGAATATTTTGAGGTGAATAATGAACCATCTGTCACCAGAACTACCAATATCGCCAGGAGAGTGTTGACACCAACACTAGTGTCCAACCTTACCACATCGGCCGCACCAGACGACGTCGCTCAGGTCATGCCATCTTTGTCACCTTCTCTACTGCCTCACTCCCTCTCAAACCTCGGCCTTCTGCGCTCAAGTTTCTTGAAATCAAGTTCTTGTGTGGAGACCACTTTAAGAGGATAAAAGAGGTTGGTGTGTAAACATTTTACTTGCATTATCACTGGGTGTAAGGTGTTTCAGGGTAAGAGCTATAAACTTCACTAGTGTCTTGAGATCAAGAGTAACAAAAGCATACAGACACATGTCAGTTTCGCAACTGTAAGGTGTGGTAATGTTTTGGCCATGTTTGTTGTTATTTAGCTAAATTAATTGTAGAGCCTTACTCATTAAGTCAAAATTTGAGAAACAATTGCAATTTCCAAAGATTGAAAAGGTTTTATAAAACGGAAATTGTTCCTATTGGTGACAAAATAAGGGTTGATGTTGCTTTGCTGGTTAAAAATGTTTTATACTCATGATTTAACCAGCCGTTTCCTTGGTTAAACAAGGCTTTTCTTCCATTCATAAACTGTTACTGATATCCCTCCATATACGAGGGTTGTCCGCAGATTAAGGTCTCTAAGCTCATGTCACAGCCAAGGAAGACAGTTCAAATATGAAACCAATAGTTTGTCGTGTTCCTTCCTTCATTCCCACTATTATAGCTGGTCCCACCCTTATGGGACGGTTAGTTTCTTTACAGTATTGAAAAACAAAATGAAGGAAAACTGATGCTCTTGCCCAGTATGAATTGTGTTCCGTGATAGTCTTTTTTAAGAAATGGGTCAATCCATGTTGACATATATATATGCAGAGCAAAGTGGCCTAGGTAGCTCACAGCACCGTACTGATCTTCACACAAGGAGTGTTCATCCGTTTCCACTGATACAATGATAGAATTCAAAGGAAACTGAATGTGATGTTCGATGTGTTTCAGACTCAAGGACAAACTGTAATCCTTGACAGTCTTATATTGTCGTCCCTATTAGTTCGCCAGTTTCTCTCATTAAGGCAAACCGCGATCTGAAAGCAAAATTCCCTTAATGAGACTGTCACGATCTACCTACACCACAAAAACCATTGTGAACATTTTTAAGACTACCGGTACCTCCAAATTTCCTTCACTTTTTGCACAAATTTGAAATTTTCTACATTGCGATGGACTTGGTGGTTGACAATTGAGACATAAGAAATCTAATCTCAGTATGCAGTTTTTGCTTGGCAGTAGCATCAATTGTCTTTCACGCCATTTCTGAATACCATTACATGACCAATAGTCCCATAGGAGTGGGAACCTGCTAGTAGGGAATGCAATAAGCAACTTGACGTTGGTCTCAGATTTGAAGTTTGGACAATCTTGCTTGGATGTGACAGGAAGTCGATGGAGACCTTAATTTAATAACAACCCTCATATAAGCCCACCATAAACCACCACATCTACTTTCTACACTGTCACTAACACTAATTTCATTTTGTGTAGATGTTTCAAGAGCGCCCAGTATGGTCCAAGGTTGCTCTGATGTGTGTCACTGGCTACAATCAAGAGCAGATGAAGTACTTGTTACCGTCCGTTGCTTACTACTTTGTAACTGGACCATTCCGCATTATGTGGGTCCGTTTTGGATTCGACCCTCGCAAAGACCCAAGTGCTCGGATTTACCAGTCCATCGACTACCGTATTAGAATACAAGGTAAGAAGGCATGTGTTCTTTGTGGGTAGAAATATTTGAACTTAGACAAAATAATAAAAGGTTGCTAATCCTGAGAAATGTTTGATGCATTTTGATGATAAAAAAATCATCCAATCTTTTGTAGTTATTTGGGGTTTTAATTAGTGATTGAGACTTCACAATTATTTTTCAATCAGTTTATCAACTACAAGGATGTCATGTCACTCATTGTACAATATCACTAGTTAAATAAGATGGGCATACAACTTGGTGTATTGGAACCCAAACAGGATCAGGGCATAAAATAACATGTTAACTGGGCGACACCAGTGACTATGGGTGGTGCCAGCATATTTTTTTAATGATTCACGTTTTAAATGTATCGGAATTTAAAAAGTATTCTAGAGCGAAAATTGCACATTGAGGAAACACGTTAAAAATCATATTATGTCATAATTATATCTACAGATAATTACAGATTTTTTTAAATCGCATACTTATAAATAAATTTGTATTACAATAATTATGGTTTTGATTTTTACCTGTATAAAAATAAGTGGGAATATACAATTTAGTTTTAGGTTTTACGTAAATATTTTAAACATGTTTGTGTTCACAAATTGTTTAATGTTTGTAGTAGTACACTTTAGAAATTGAGCTATGATTTTAGCCCAAGAGGTTGTGAAGGGAGCCTCTTGGCCTCTTACAATGTTCAAGAAGTTAAGTGAGATTATTTAATGAAATGAAGAGAATATATATGATATAATGAGGACAGATTATATAAGTGAAATTGAAATTATACTATTTACAAGCAAATATAATCGGAACATTCATGAAAAGATACGTAGAAATGTGTCATTTTCACTTTATTTTAAGCAAAATTTTTCCGGAGGAGAACCCCCAGGCCCCCGTTTTTCTGGGGGGGAGGGTGGGGTATTCCACACCCCCCGATACCCCGGTAAGTCTGGCGCAACTGTCGCCCAGTGGAAATCTCTTAAAATATGCTCTGAACAGGATGTGTAGAATATAGATACCTTGCATAGTACCATTGTACTGACTGAGGTCAGTGGGACCTTTTACCAGGACCATAATTTAGCCTAGTTCTAGATAGCTGGGCCCAGTTTAAAACACAATCCTTATAATTCATCTTCACCTTAACCCAAGCATGGTTTTAGCGTTGTAGTTGGTGATTCATCACATTTTACAGGTGGTGGAACAAACTACGTGAAAGCTAAGCGCAGTTACACACAGTACTTGTTGCCGTACAAGTCCACGCCGGCCAGTCGGCCGAAGACAGCTGTTATCTCTCAACAGGCCGAGGAGAAACCTGCGGAACCGAATGTAGTTCATGAGAACCAATATGTCTTTCGGCCTGGAACCATCCCTCCTTCTAGGCAGATGTTCTATCAGGTGATTTTTGTTAATGTCGGATCAACACTATATTCTGGCATTTCACATGCTTTTTTGTTTTTATCATCTATGCAGAGCTACAGTCACAATATCTGTCTTGTGTATTCCATGAAAGATACAATAGTAATAAAAACACAGTGTTTTTGTACCTAATATTCCAATATAGCTGGCCTTTGGTGAATCAATGTCCTTTGGGGGTCCTAATTGCATGAATTAAAATTTAAATTTATATGTTGATGTCAATTTACTGATTTCCGTCGAATATACAAACTTTTAAACAAAGCCGTTGTCAACCAGACGTTGTGGTAACACTTGTTCTCTGTTTGCATGTGACAGCTGTGTGATATCAAGGTGCCAGAGATTGAAGCCATGGTTGAAAGGTTACCACGGTTGCCACCCAGCTCCAAATGTCACGAGAGGCTTGGCTGGTTGCCGCCCGGGTTTGCGGAACAATGCCGAGACATCATGAACAGCCTGGTGTCCCAACAGATACAAAGAGAGCAGGCTGCAGGTAATCAAACTATTGGCTACAATGATAATTTTGTTATTCATTTTAAAATTAACTTTTGTTCCAGTTAGAGTTTATGTTACATTATGTAGGGGTGCATCTGTGAATGACCGTTTTGTATAAAAGCTTTTGGGTCAGAAAAAATTACACACTGTTAGATCTGGTAAAAATTCTCTTACTCTGTACAAAATACAAAGTTTTTCTGTATAGCTGGTAAATTCATCCCAAATATTCAAAAATAAAAATATTGTTATTGTATTATTATATCAATGAATGACCGATCATCAAAAATGTGCAACGTCGATGTGTCCAACATTGTTTTGTATGAAAATGCCATGAATCACATAAAATGAAACTTTATTCAACTTGAAAAGAATAACATGACTTGCTTGTAAAAACTATAAACATACATTGACCTACTGTTTTTGTTTTGACAAAAAAAAATTTTATTTTAAATAATTATTATCACAATATTGTGTTACTTTAAATACAGTTGTAAGAGATTGAACATGATTAACTGGTAGATCGGCAGTCATTTACTTGTGCACATACCCCACCATAGCATAACCGACTAATAGACAATAGGCAATAGACAATTCCTTTATTACAATTTCATCAAGAAATGTTACAGCTTAAAATTTCTGTTTAAATTTCTGATTGTTACAGCGATCAAATGTTACAACTAAGTTGTATAATTAGGAAGTACAGGCAATATGTTCATACTCCCTTCACTGTAGATTAAATTGTTGTTTTTTCTAACCCTCTGTTTGGACATAATATAACCCACTAAGTTTTATAGTTAGGAAGTACAGTCAATATGTTCATACGTTTCCCTTCACTGTGAAAACTTAAGCTTAAAGAATCATTCACTGGTACACTCATCCTATCGAATTACATTCCCAACATCTCACTCAAGAATTTTTCATCTAATTACCTGATATCACTTGATGCAATATCAACGACTTTCCAAAACGAATCCGTTTCTTTGTCAACAGATTCCCAACCTGGAACCAGTGAAGCGTATGATGATCAAGGAGATTCTCAAGATGAAGATCAATATAATGAAGATGACGTTGACTGGGAAGACTATGAGTAAACCAATGTCTGGTTGTTATGTAAATAAACAATTTTTTAAAAGTGTAATACATGATTCCATCTAAATTTTAAATGTGTAGGTTCTTTCTGTGTAAAGTACTATGATATTTTTTTAAATTTATAATTGTCTGAGTAGGTATAAGACAAAAAATATAGGTTACTTAAAGTAACTATGAAGACTTTGAAAGTGAACACTCTACAAAATGTTATCAGCCACAGATGACTTAGTGATATCATTTTAGACTCAAGCTAAATCCCTGGGATAATTGACCCTTTGCATGGATTGGTAATTCACCAAAGGAGTTTCAATATTGTCCGTACAATTCGGACTGTATTGACTTTATGCAATCATGAATACGTCAAGGAAGAAAGGATGGATATTGAATACACAACTAACTTAAAGAAAAGAGTTCTAGGTAGGTAGTTGAAAGCACACAACAAAAATCTTAACACAATAAACTTGATATTTCAAAAGATAGAAGTTGAAATACCTTGTTTCATGTGCTGTGAACTTTTTTGTGTGCTTTCAACTACTTGGAACTCTATAATTTTTCCTCCAAAATCTTGGCTTAAGGTGATTTGAACAAGAATGACATCCCAAAAACAACTTACAAAACGAAATATTTTATTATAATACAAACATTTTGCGAATGTGCAACATGGAAAAAATCGTACACATAATTAAAAAACCTACCAAAGTCCTTAGGTCTCAAATTGAACACAAATTTACATTTGAGGTAAAAGTTCGATCGGAGTAGAGAACTTGAAGTCTTCCGGGAACAGTTTGATTGCGTGGGGATACATCAGTTTGTAGGATTGTCTGATTGTGACATCCGCCACACCTGCTATGTCTCCGATCTCCTTCTGACACTTTTTGTCGTCTGAGGCCTACAACCATAGAGAGGATCGTAGAAACATAATCAGAAATATTTTATACTACCATCACAATAATTCTGTAACAAGTTGTGTATTACATCATCGATTTCTACGAAAAGAATTTCAAAGCTCGCGCACTGCTCAATTTGTTTGGCTATATAGAAAAGAAGAATTTTGTTTCTCTTGTGTCACATTTTTTTCCTGGACGAATTTTCAAAACGTTCCCTATTTCCTCAATAACTTCCATGAACAAAATTACAGTGAGGCAAAATATTCATTGACGGACAAAAACACAAACTGAACAAATCATAGATTAAATACACCAGAATAATTGACTCTAGCCGAAGCCGAGAATGTTCCATTACCTGAGAGGCCATGTAGATAGCAGCAGCTGCTACAGAGATGGGTGACCGACCAGGCACAATGTCCAACTCTACGGCCTTCCTGGCAATGTGTGTGGCTGCCCTCTGCACCATGTTGGGTAGTCCTACAAACATACATCACATTACACTACAAAGCTCCAGTGACATTGCACATTATTGTCAATACTAAGACTAGCTAACTAAACGTTTTATTTAAACACTCAAATTTAATTTTTTAGTACTGACTACAATACTTAGAAAAAGGCCTCAAGCTTTAGATTATAACTGGGGAAAAGTTACTGCCTAATAGTGATTCTTGTTTCCACCATCTTGGCATTCATAAATTTTTTTTATAGATTCATTTAGCCTAAATTGTTACGATTGCAAAATTTGAATTTGATTTTGTAAGCTGTATAAACATGCTGAAAAAATAAATTTTTTGTCGTCCGTTTTAAATCAACCCTTCTTGTCGTCTGTTTGAACGACTTTGATTTAAAAACAAGATATTACTGGGATTTTTCCTGGGAAATGAAATAATAGTCGAAAATGAGTGTGAATGGATATATGAACATTTTAAATCTATACTTACTTAGCCTATACAGTTTAGGGTAATGAAATGAGTATGAACTATTGTAACAGAAAACTAAACAAAGGAGGTGACACACGGAACTGAACTCAGGAGGCTATACGCGGTGACAGCACCAGTAATCAAACTATTCATTAGCCCCAGGCTAACTATGTAATTTAATCTACATTGTCGAAACAGGACAGTTATATTTTGTGTCCATCTATTTCATATTCATATTTGTGTTTTGCCTTGTGATTAATGACAAATCCCTTGGAAATTCACATTCCCCTGAAGTTAACATTTAACTAGCTGTGAATTATGTTAATTGATTCAGAATAACATCATTGTGGCAAAACATTCACTAACCTCCACATGTAATGTGTAAACGGATAATATGAAGAAGAAATTACCCAAATTAGAACAGAATCTTGACATGAAGTCTCCTGTTGTTATGAGATCCACACTGGTCTCCAAAGCCTTCAGAATCAACTTGAAACATCTTCCAATCTCCTTCTTACTGATCTTGCTGACAGCACAAATTTCCTGGTAAATTCATTAAGTTAAGAAACCACAAATAAAACTGAGTTGATAACAAGGTTGTATTTTAACCGCCAAATGATCTACCATAATTTCTACACACCAATAAAAATTGCACTGAAATAGTTTAAACCTCAAGTTTACCAACACTTGCATTTTAATTTAAAACTAATCACACCTCATTGATACACAACCTAAGACATATGAACTGTTAAGATTACTGCTTAGCGGTTATAGCAAGAATATATTATTTATTATGTATTTTTGTTACTCTATTTCCAGAGTAAGTTTAAAAGCTACTATCTGATAAATGTACAAAGACTGACAACTTGCGTTTGAGCAATGTTGCCAGCATACTAACAGACTGGTCACAGTAGGCCTAACCGATCGTCAGTTTTGTTTAATATATAAGGCTGCTAATGACTCTCAGAGCAGTTTCTATTTAAATGTTGACTGGCAACTTGCTAAATTAATATTATCAAAGAATTGTGGACAGTACAATTTCATAATACCGACCTTAAAAGTACGAGGAACACCCTCCTGACGACAAGCTATATACAGACAGGCAGAAGCGATCGCATCATTGGCTCTTCCCTTGAGATTTTTGCCGTCATGAACCTGTTTAAACAAGTTGTTTGCTCGGTCGACAATCGTCTTAGGCAGATTGATGCGGTCTGCCATGCTGTTGATCTCACGGAATGAGTTGATCAATGCTCTATCTGAACTACTCATCTGGAAAAAATTGTTTTACATTAGTTAAAAGTAATTATCAAAGATGGCTGGATCCAGTTTTGAACCATGGATTACATTTTTTGACTTTTCAAAGATTTGAAACAGTGACCCTATGTTTATCTATTCAGCTAGGAAGGTATGTAGTAAATTATTAGTAGTGGAATGCATACAGCTTTTATTCAAGGATATGATCAATGAAAGATATAAGTTAAGATAGTTCTGTAAGTTGTAGACAAAAATCAAATACCTACAATATATTTTACAAAAACGATCAGGGAAGGAAATTATTTAAGCAAAAGGAGGCCTACTTACAGTACGACGATTTTGGTATTTGGATACACCAAATTCATCAAACGAAGCATCGCCCCTGCCCGGTCCAATCATTGTAGAGAGATCAGATCCGTTCAACAGTGGGTTCTCAGGACCTCCAACACGAGAAGGGTCGACTCCATTTTTCTCATTACTGAAGGTTCGCCATTCTGAACCAACGTCTATCACACTGTAAGGGTAAGAAGTGTTATAAACTGATACATATAGCCCAACTAAAATCCTACTAATTCTACCATAGGAAACGACAGGTATATTCCTGCATCACCAAGTATACGCTTCTCATGATTAAGTTGTGAATAAAATTATTATCTACCACCTACAAATTGTAAACTTTTAGCAAACTTACCGATCACCTACAACAAGACCACATTCAGAACAAATCTGATCACCAGCTCTATAATCCTCAATGAGGGGAGCGTCCGGATGCTGATTGCAGCATACTTTGTTAACATCCATTCTGAAAAATAAAACATTTAAGTTAGCTTAACTTAGCTTGAATAAAATAAAATAAAACTTATAGGCCCTGGCCTAATTATTCTAAACAATATTTGAACAGCATAGGCAATGTTTGGGGTAGACTACACTTCCATATCTGTTGACACAAACAACCGAATGAGTAAGTTAATATTGACTAAACTTATTTGATTGTTTAATTCGATATATCGTTTGGTTAGGTTAACCTTACCTAACTAACCAGACGATATATCGAATAGGCTATAATCATATAGCTTATCGATCAATATTTTCATTCGGTTGTTTGTGCCAACAGATATGGAAGTGTAGGCCTATCCCCTATACAACCGAATATGGTTTGAATATGCTATATTGCGTAGAATCTCATGTATTTTAATGTATTTGGCTTTGGTTTGATTTAGCCTTTAATTTGGCCTAATGCCTATTGACTAGGTTACCATCTAGGAAGGTGGACATAAGTTATTTAATTCAAAGTTACAAGTATAATAATCCCAAGTGTTTATTGCCAAATAAATCAAGGTCTAAAACTTATTGACTGCTCTTTATTTCTCGAACTAGCCTAGGGGGTACAGTTTCTTAACTGGGCTACGCTAATATCGATTGAAACTATCGATTCGATTAGTAAACCTTCATGCGATTTTTTCACCATCAGCAAGTTTGGTTGGTTAGGTTAAGTTATGATAGTTTTATTTTATAATAGATATATTTTAAAATATCGATTATTAATCAATATTTTCAATTCGATAGTTTCAATCAATATTAGCATAAGTTTAGCCCAGTTATGAAACTGTACCCAGCCTAGGTCTAATGAATGTGTTTATTGACTCTTCTCTTACAAAGGCATTACTTTATGTTATCCTATTCAAGACCAGTGGATTATTAGCATAACAGGGCCTAGGCCTATTAGAGTTTAGGATTTATGCTAATAGTAATGCAGAATCCTACCTGTAAGAAGCCATCGTAATCTTATTCAATCTGTTAGCCTTTTTTGACTTTGAAAAGCACAGTTGCAAAACAGACTATAAAAACTATATAATTTTTAAAATACACGGGGAAAAGTTAGATATAAACAATTCAGTCTGAATCTTGTACCAATGAAACGACACCAAAAAAATTAATTGCAAGTATTTGTTAACATAATAACATGAACGCAAAAACACAGTTTTCACAATAAAGGTTGTCTTTCTTTGACAAATTGACAGATGATCAGATGATATTCTGGTTGGTCGGTTTGTGGTACGGTAATGGTAACTAGCGGCTAGAGCCTGACCACCAAATCTGTTCGGGAGCGAAACTTCTATCCAATCGACGTTCTGTACCCACGAGCACCTCAGCTTCCACATGCACAGAAGGCCTTGGAACAGTTCCTGGGATAACAGGTATTTGTGTAATAAGCTTCACTGTATATCTTTATTGCACCTGTTTAGATAGTTGTTTCTTTCAGCAGTTGCAGTTGCGAACTGTGCATTATGATTTTGTAAAGGTAAAGGTGTTTATTCTTTACTGTTTGTTTACTTTTGACTTGAGCTGCTTGAAAATGTGTTTTATGATTATGAAAATTAAAGTGTTGTGAGTGTGCTGAAGCTGATTTGATATTAGGTATATTGACAATTAAATGTTTTGCGTGCATGAATTATTTATGAAGTGTTAAATGTTCACTTAAACTGTATTTTTCGGACTCCTCAAGAAGAGAGGTTAGGTTGGGTTTGTGTGTGAATTTGTTAGATTACAGTTTTGGTGTTGGTGGTCTAAGTTAAGGCATTGAGTATGGTTAAGGTAAACTTAGGCCTACCTACTCTTATAAATAGATAAGTTATTAATTTAACTTTTTCAAAGGCAATAACTTCTAAGACCTAAACTCAACTGAAAGGCCCAAAACTAACTTAATTAACCTAGACCTAGACCTACCACTACCAAAACTGCAATCCAACAAATTCACACACAAACACAACTCAACCTAACCTATTAACAATCACTCTTGAGGAATCCGAAAAATATATGTTAAGTGAACATTTAAAACTTCATAAATAATTCATGCACGCAAAACATTTAATTGTCAATACCCGATAACAAATCAGCTTCAGCACACTCACAACACTTTAATTTTCATAATCATAAAACACATTTTCAAGCAGCTCAAGTCAAAAGTAAACAAACAGTAAAGAATGAACACCTTTTACCTTTACAAAATCATAATGCACAATTCGCAACTGTAACTGTTGAAAGAAACAACTATCTAAACAGGTGCAATAAAGATATACAGTGAAGCTTATTACAACAATAGCTGTTATCCCAGGAACTGTCCCAAGGCCTTCTGTGCATGTGGAAGCTGAGGTGCTCGTGGGTACAGAACGTCGAGTGGATAGAAGTTTAGCTCCCGAACAGATTTGGTGGGCAGGCACTAGCCGCTACTGTACTACTATAATGGTATGACACCTCAGTCGAGTCTTTTTCTAACGTACTGGTTTGAGTGACAGAAGTGTGTCGAGTGCCGCTGGAGCGTTTTGATTCAATCCAGAGTAACTAAAACCATTGACTACGGAGATGCATGACGGAGATGTACATTAATCATAAACCATAGATTAATAGCTCAAGCTCATTTAATCAATGATCTAAGTTACTATTAGAATAAAATTGCATTCTAGAGTTTATGGTAAATAGATCAATGTTCAAAACAATTTACACATATCCAATGGAACTTTTTTTCAATCCTCAGTTGAAGTTTATATGTTACAAATCTGAGTTGTTACACTATGTAAAGTGCAAAAACATTGCAGCTATTCAACCAAGAGGGGGAGGGGGGGGTTTATTTGGCAATAATAAGTAATTCTAGTCATAATAGTAAAGATAAGATTCTTAAACAGCAAATAGGAATCTACCACCAAATGTACAAACACTCCTAATGGAAAAAAATTGCAAGCTATGGCCACCATTACTAAAATTTCTAAAAGAAACAGAAATCCAATTTTAATAATAGCCCAACAAGACATAAAAAATAAAATAACATAAAATGTTCCAGATTGGAAAAATATAGGGAACCGGGTAAAACTATTTAGGATAACATCTAAGACCCTAAAATAATCAAAACTCTTTGTACACTAGCAAAATGTCAAAATATTGCCTAGTAAACTTTAAGTCCAAAAAGAGGCTTACCAGGAAGCTTTTACGTTGGCTCTTTTCTTTCTTTGTGTGTTCTCAGAGAGAACCGTTCTCCCTATAATCTATTTAAAGTGCAAGGTTTTTCAAAGTCCCCAGAGATTTGTTTGAACTGAAAGCTAAGAGGAATAAAATTATCCAAGAAATTATGGTGATTTTTGAAGAAATGCTGAAATGAGTACGGTAACCGATGGAATTTTTAAGGGCTTACAAAGAAATGTCATGTATGTTATTTATTTGAAGTAGTTCGCGAACCAGCACTATGGGACTATGGGAACGGGGGTTTATGGTGGGTTTTATGGGGTAAAAATTGATTTTTCCCATTTTTAACCCTTAAATCACAAAATATCATAATTTCTCCCCGAACCCATTTGTAAAGCTTAAAAAAAGAAATAATTTTGTATATATTGAAGCATGGTTGTATGCGCCCAACGGTTACAAAGATAATTTAAAAAATTGTAAATTAAAAATTACCATGTTATTCTTATGGAGAATAAACAACCTGTTGTAGTTTCCTTGTTTAAAGATATTTTAACCAAATTTGGAATTTTTTAAAATTTAACACTAAGCAATCAACATTGCAATAAAAAACACACCTCCATGTCCCCTGTAGCAGCAAACCTAAGTACTCACTAAATGCTATTTTTTAATAGGAAACAAATCTGACAATTTTTAGGTAATATTTTAGTAGAAATTCAGCCAGGTAAATGGAAATTCGCTTAGTCTGCAGGTTTGCTGCGATAGGGGTATTTATAAATCCAGGGTAAATAGTATTGAATTTGACTATTCATTAATTGGGGTGCTGTCATTGCCTCACTCTGTATATCCCTCTAAAAATGGGGGGGGGGGGGGTGACAACCACCATGCAAAACCTAGTTGTCTAATCGCCCCCACTTAAAATTTGTTAGAAAAAAAAAACAAACAAGAATAGGTTAATAACACTTTCAAAGTAACTGTTTAAACTCATAAATATTTCTGTTAATGGATTTCAATTTTCACTTTTGAACTTAACATAGTAAAAATGTGGTTAACAAGCTAAGGCTTAATATTAGGGCAGAGCTTGACAAAAATTACCCTGACATACAAGTCAACAGAAATTACTTAAAATGATCAGATAAGTTGTCAAAATGATATCATTATTCAACAATGTATTCTTCTGTAAATTGAATGTTAAGAAGACTATTTTAATCTTAGTGGAAACTTTTACCTGGCCACTCTCAAAATAAAAGTTACACTCATACCTCACATAAAAACTACCTTCCTAAAGTCATGACACTTTCAGTCCTTCAAATACAAACTTACCTCAGAGATTTTAAACCAACATAAAATTTAAGTTTAGACTATACTCAGTCATTGATCTGACTCAGAGCCCCATTGCACTAACAAAAGTGGTAATCCCGAGGCCGGCACATGTCCAGAACAAATAATAGAAGAAAATGTTTGATTATGTTAATCTTGATGGCCAATACAATATATTGGTGCTAGGTGCTATACTTTAAGGTTTGTTGGGAAAGAGATACCCTCCAATTATGGTTCACGTTGATTGTTTCAGTTTTTTGTAGTATTCGATTGCCCCACATTGGAAAGGTGCACCACTCATTTTACTATCTATCTTCATATGACCGAAATCATAGTTAATTTAAAAAGGGAACTGGACCCATATACAAAATATCTTACGATAAAAACATTCAAATTTGAAGGTAAGCACTCTCATACTTGGGTACCTTGTCAGTCATATCAGGTTTAGATTGTCAGATATGATGAGGCTATTGTTATACAAGATCCATAAAGAGACACTTCAGACAATTATTAGCAAATGTTAACTATTCAATTTAAATCATGTGTCTGTGTACACTAAAATAAAAATAGGAAAATATAATTTCACAGGTGGATGAAAATACAAAGCTGGATCTACATCAGTTTATTAGCCTCAAAAAATGTACAAAATGTGATTTTACTGGTTGCAAACAATCTCAAGATTTACTACCACAGCCGAAGAAATTGTTGTTGACGACGTAGCGTACACACTGAAGAATAGCGGTCCTTTCATGACGTATCTCATTTTGCAGGAGCTACAAAGAAAAGAGAAAAGACAGGCATGAATTTAACAATCACATACAACAATCAAGACAACTGAACATTCGATTTTGTTAATATCAACAATTGAGGCGGAATTAGTAAAATAAAATTTAATTAAAGAAACAATGACTGTTGAATGAAATACTAAGCCAAACTGACGAGCCAATTTAAAAGCGTGTCGCTGGCTTTCGGAATATTTTTGAAATTTCTATACGTATCGTAAAACTCACATATTGTATGGCTAATTTTATTTTAAGATAATAAACAAATTATTAATGCCCTGTAGGCCTAATGTAGAACTAGCAATTTTGAACCTGGATGTTTAAATACTTCTAACATAAAAACTTACCTTTTCCAAAAGTGAGAGCTGTATCCTTTTCATTGGTGGTCGAACTGGAGGTTTGGGCCTTGTGATAGTTTTTACTGCCTCGTTTTTGGATTTCACAGTTTTGTCCTCTTGAGGCCTGTCAGTTTGTGGATTTAACTTTGGGATTGGGGCATTCGTAGTGTCCTCTCTGTGAATAACAGTTTCCTCTGGCCCACTTTCTGGATTGTCTTTCTCTTGTGTTATTTCTTCAGATTTTATTATACCAGTCTCTTCTGGTCCACTATCTGAATCGTCTTTCTCTGGTTTGATTACGCCAGCTTTTAATCTTAGAAAACCATCACAAGGCAATTTTTGTTGGTTGGATATGGGTCCGTTTGTTTCATTCTTCACAGTTGAAACTGTAGGAGCTGCAGGAACGTTGTCTTTACATTCATCTGTAAATAATTTACTGTGTAAACACAAAGAATACCAAGACTAAGAATAAGCACTACAACATTAGGATTTAAGCAATGATGTACAGTCACTAATAATGATATTTATTCAGAAAATTTACAACAAAATACGGAAACTGGTGCCAGATGTCTTTAATTATTGAGTTTTATCTAAAATAATGAAACAATTTGACGAAGATTAACTTGAGTCCAGTTATAAGGTAGAGTTCTATTGAACCCAAAATTACAAATTTTAAAAGAATTTGTAATAAATAGCTAAACAGGTAAACTAATAGGGAAGAGATTTTCTAAACCAAACAATCAAGCATTTAAAGTTTGAATAGTCGTAAAACTCTTTTGTATAGGTTTGATCAACTTTATCTAGTTTGACACAGGAAAAAAACATAACACAAACTTACAAGTGTGACTCCCTCAACAACACTTACTTTACAAAACATTTGATCCAACTAGGACCACAATCCATTCTAAGTCTTTGGCAAGACACACATTTTTGACATAATAATTGTAGCGTTTGGTACCAAGGTGTTTAGTTCAACCTCCACAATAGTTTCAATGTCCCGCCCAGAAGGCAAACATAGTCAAGCCATTGTACAACCGAGGAGGACGGTGCTCGCGCATGCGCAGCGGGCACATCAGGTTAGACTAGTGAACCACAGTGTCTGTCATGCCCCATCGTTGGAACGAGGAAGATGGCTTCGTAGACTCGTGGGACATGGGGGTAAGGCCCCTTGTGAGGTATTGTATGGTGTTATACGTTAATTAATTTAGTTCCAATAAACTTATTCTTTGCATATTTCAGCTATAAACAACATTAATGTAATTTCCAGTGTCAGTGTTTTAATTCCAATATTAATTAAATTAATACCTCATGTTGTGTCCGGTCACTTGATCTGTAATTATTATATTCGTTGAAGGATAATAGTACAGTATTTCTGTAGGAAAAAAAAATCATTAATTAGTACCCCCATGTAATATATCCCCATATATTCCCATACATCTATATGCAAGTTTGAAGCCAAGAAAATAGATGAAGTTCAGTACCATCTCAACAAAGTTTGCTAGTGTATTGGATTGAATATTAATAACCAATGTATAGTTCGGCCGCTTAGAAAGCGACCTCCTCCAGCATTGGTTTAGCATTAGCGCGAAGGTCGTTTTCTAAGCGGCCGAACTATAGTATCATAGCAAACAGCTGATTGATTTATCACTTAACACAGAATATTGTCATTAGTCGATGACCATCTCAACAGATAGCACCAAATTTTTTTGGCTTCAAAGTTTTACATTACATGGGAAGTCTAGGTATTAGCAATCATCAAAGCTGGCTTTTTGGGCCTGTGATTCGCAGTAACCTGCGTCCTCTGATTAAATTTAAGGCCCATCGTTTCCAACATGAATGGTTATGTCGTAAAAGTCAATCAATCGACAATAATCATCAATACCACTCCACCATAAAGGTATACTCAGGACTGGAATGACTCTAGCCAAAAAACATCTAATTAAATACAATATTTATTATACACCCTAGACAACATCAGGCCTTTAAAATTATTCAATTAAATTAAATCTATGTTGCTTTGTTGTTTTAATGTTTCTTCATTACCTACTAAGTACATAAAAGTATCATAATTAATCTTTGAGTAAACATACGAATAAATTACCATCGGTGTCAGACCCATAATTCGCCATTAGGGAAGCCAAAACACTGCTGAACAAGGGTTTGGAAACTGCCACATCTTGCATGGTGTTTGGCTCCGATTCATCGTCACTTATATGTTTTTCTTCTCCAACACCCATAGGTTCATCGTTGACTACAAGGAAAGCACCTGAAAAGTATTATGATATGTTATAACAGGCAATTAGTTACCAATGCAACATAATAAAATCAAACAAAACGGCAACCTCAAGCATTTCCTAGGTTTAGGTGTAGTATTAGATTGTCTACAAATCGTAAAATATGTTAGACCTAGGCGGATAAGCACACACTTATTAGGCACACGGGGAAGCAATTATTACAAGGAGTCACAATAATGATCACGACAAACTACATCACACTAGAATATCGGTAAAAATACTCATAAATATAAAATACCCCCGCCGCAGCAAACCTGCCGACTAAGCGAATTTCCATTTGTCTGAATTGATTTTCAGTTAAATATTTTATAACATTAGGTTTAACGAGTACCTAGGTTTGCTGCTACAAGGAAACTAATAAAGTGTGTTTTTGAGTAAAATATTGATAGCTTAGTACAAAATAAATAAATTTGCCAAGTTTGATCAAAATATATCCATAAACAAGCAAACTACAACATTTGACAATATTCTCCATAAGAATAACATGGGAATTTTAAATTTACAATTTTTTAAATTTTCTCCGTTACTAATAATCGAACAAAAATACTTTTATATACTAAATTATTTGTTTTTTTAAGCTCTTTAAAAAGGTCTAAAGAGAAATCGGGAAATTTTGTGTTTTGAGGGTCAAAAGTGAGAAAAACCAATTTTTACCCCATAAAACCCCCCGTAAAGCCTCGTTCCCATGGTCCGATCGTGCTGGTTCGCGAACTCATTCAAGTTTATCCCGCTTTACACCTTTAAACCAAATTTCATCAAAATCGGACAAAAATTACTCAAGTTATCGCGTTCACGGACGTATATATATATATATATAAGTCTATATATATATATATATACATATATAAAAATTTGAACGAATGGTGTTTTTGGCCTCTGGGGACATCAAAATGAAAAAGTAAATCGGTCCCGGGTCTAGGTCTTACCGTGCCACCTACGGTAATAGCTACTTCCCTATAGGGAAATTCGCTAACAATACAAATTACTTTGAATTACACAGTATAATATTGACTAGGCCTATATAACTAAGTACAAATCACTCGGCCAAGAAAATAGCAGGCAGAGAGATTTAGCTTCTCCAGGAAATTTCACCCTCTTCCATTGCCAAAACTGGGTTTCAATCATCATTCTAAGCTATAACTCTCAATCAAGATCGACTTAGCCTCAGGCCGGCTTTTATAAACGGGCAGACTGGGCATAATGCCCAGGGGCGCCGGTGGTTTAAGGGCGCCCGCTGGGTGCCCCCAAACCTCCGCCCGCCAGCACTAGGAAAAAAAGGGGGGCGCTGCTCTTGGGTTTGCCAAGGGCTCCACTGACCCTTAATGCGGCCCTGCTTAGCCTAAATAATTTAAGTATTTTAAAAACACATTTAGACTCAGATTTAATCTTCGGTTTATTTGAGGGGTAGCCTACCTACATATTTTGTACATTTTACTCACCAGTTCCAGGGAATTTGGGTAAGTCTCCCCTCCACGCATCTGGATCTTTCCACTTGGTTTCATTATTAGTAACATGTTTGTCCCTTTGTTTCTGTCGATTACCATCTACATTATTTTTATTCTGGTTTCGCCGTCTCTTCCGGTCTTGCCAACTATCGTGCCTCTTATCTGAAAAAAAACAACAAATTTTTGTAAAATACAAGTGGTTAGATTTGAGGTATAGGAAGTAGGAAGGAAAATATAGTATAATTTTAGAGTGATCACTGTTGAAACAAAAACAGGAATCGTCTCTTTTATTTTAAGATTTTGAGCATGTAACGATGCAATTAGTTAATGATAATTGATAATTCCTTGACTAGTACAGTGGTTTGGATCCCATCGTAAGCTGTAAGAAAAGTCTCTAAGGTAGTACGAACTATATAGCTGTGGTTACGATATCTTGTCATAAAAAGCAATTTGTTAGTACAGTAAAAGTTCATAGACCGGTATCTGCTGGTCCAGTACTATCTATTATCCGGTGTCGGAATACAAATAAAAAAAGTTTTATGCTGTTTTAAGCCATCTTAACGCTTTTGAAAAAAAACTATGGGAGCGATTGATTACACTGTACCTAGATACAAAACAGTATTATTATTACAAAGGATGGTAACAAATTATTATTTGGACAAAACTAACGATAAGAAAGAGATGGAAGAGGTTATTATCGTAACTTGAATTCAACAAACTTCTCAGTGCAGATTTTTTCTTAAAAGTTTCAATTGATTGCGAATATATAATTTGTCAAGTGTATTTAATCACATTATTTATTATTTCTACCCTTATACCTAATTGTTTTATGCCTCGCTATTGTTTTACAGAAAGGTAGTTCAACAATCAGATAGTATGTATTTTAGGATTAATGTTCAATTTTATCACTAGAAAATTCAAACTTACGGCGGGAGTTTCCTTCCATAGGCATTCTTTCACCGCGCTGGATCATTTCCGATTGTTGAGCCTCTTTCCTCTCCACATTTACTTTAGTAGGGTAGCGACTGAAATGCAAACAAACCAATCAGAATGATAAATACCCCCGCTGCGCAAACTTGCCGACTAAGCGAATGCTGAAATCCCATTTGTCTAAATTTATTTTCATCCAAGTCTATTTAAATAACATTAGGTTTAATGAGTACGGTAGCTAGGTTTGCTACTACAAGGAAACTAATAGTGTGTTTTTTTGGTAAATTAGCTTAGCATAAAATACAAAAAATTTTCCAAGTTAGATAAAAATATTTCCATTCACAAGCAAACTACAATATTTTACATAAATACCCCCGCCGCAGCAAACCTGCAGACTTAGCGAATTTCCATTTGCCTGATTGGATTTACTCTAAAATGTCTCCTTAAAAATATCACATTTATTCCCCATTTAAACAGAATTAATTTAATGAGTACTTAGGTTTGCTGCAACAGGGAGGGTAAACGTTTTTTTTAAATGTAAAATGTTAAAAGGTACTGTAGTTTAGTAAGAAATTAATGTATTTTCCAAATTTGATCAAAATAAGTTCATAAACAAGCAAACTACAACAGTAGACTTATTCTCCATAAGAATAACATGGGAATTTAAAATTAATATTTTTTGGAATTTTCTCCGTAACAATTAGGCGCATAACAACGCTTCAATATACTAAATTATTTGTTTTTTTAAGCTCTACAAAATGGTTTAGAAAGAAATTGTGAAATGTTGCGTTTTTAGGGTAAAAAATGGGGAAAACCAAATTTTACCCCATAAAACCCCCCATAAACCCCCGTTAACATAGTCCGATCATGCTGGTTTGCGAACTCATTCAAGTTTATCCCACCTTACAATTTCAAACCAAATTTGATCAAAATCGGACAAAAATTACTCAAGTTATCGTGCGGATGGACATATATATATATATATATCTACATATAGATATATAAAAATTTGAACAAATGGTGTTTTTGGCCTCTGGGGACATCAAAATGAAAAAGTAAATCGGTCCCGGGCCTAGGTCTTACCATGAGACCTACGGTAATAGCTAGTTCCCTATAGGGAAATTCGCTAAAACAACATGGTAATTTTAAATTTACAATATTTTGAATTTTCTCAGTTACTAACAACCGCGCAAAAACACTTTGATATAGTAAATTATTTGTTTTTTTTAAGCTCTTTAAAAAGGTCTAAAGAAAAATTGGAAATTTTTGTGTTTTGAGGGTCAAAAATGAGAAAAACAATTTTTTACGCCATAAAACCCCGTTCCCATGGTCCGATCTTGCTGGTTTGCTAACTTATTCAAGTTTATCCCACCTTATACCTTTAAACCAAATTTCATCAAAATCTGACAAAAATTACTCAAGTTTTGGCGTTGATGGACGTTTATAAAAATTTGAGCGAATGGTGTTTTTGGCCTCTGGGGACATCACAATGAAAAAGCTTAGGTCCCGGGCCTAGGTCTTACCGTGCTACTTACAGTAATAGCTACTTCCCTAAAGGAAAATTTGCTAAAACATGGAACTTTGGCTAAGAACAAAAACCAGCATCAAACCAACCAAGTTTACCACAGTCAAAGATCATCAAGGTTTAAGCTAAGGTTTTCTCAGGAAACAGGTTCCATGGTGGTTAGGAAAATCTTATACAGGGTGGGGAAAAATGTCCAGGAAAGTTAAATATTCCAAAAATATAACACAGAGAGAGCTTGGCACAAAGTTACTGGGCATCAAAACAATTTTAACACTTTATTCAGTGTTTTTCTACTTCCTCAGGCAGACATAAGTCAGAAGAAAATCTTTAAAAGTAAGGATAGGTTGATATGCACATTAAAATTAAAGGTCTTTGTTAGTCAAATACAATGCCGCAAACCTAAACTCATAAGAACAACGGAGTCTAAAATGGCAGCCAAGATGACTTAAATTTGCTATTTAGAATTTTTGAATGGCGACAATTTTTGACTCAGTTGTTCTTTTATTTATTTAAAGCCTAGTGACCATAAACAGCTGGATCTTGTTTAGAACCTTTAAAAAATCTCTTGACATTTCTCAAGATCAAACTGGTAACCCCACTAATTACTCAGCGAGCCTAATGAACACTTGGCTACCCAACTTTTTATAACCAAACACTAACCTCGGTTAGTCTCCGTCCGACTTTTTCCAAAACTCACCTTTTTCTAGCAGCGATCCACTTAGCAACCTCCTCTGGGCTTTGAGAGAAGACAATACTCTTGTACAGCCCTGTGTCGTGTTGTAACTTGACGTGTTTATCCACGACCTTCGGATGAGCAGTAAACACACACCCGTCTCTTCCGCAGACAACATGTTCCGCAACATGGGCGTCCAGCAGTTCCTGGCTTTTGAAGGTACGGTCACAAGCTTCACAGAAAAATTCACCCTAAAAATCAAAATGAAATGTTACAAACTCGATCGTCTTGGAATATAGGGAGAAGGATTTGGAAAACAAACACCTAACTGGGCAACAATTGCTTTACTTATTGACCTTAAACAATCTACGATATAAACTAACATAATTGGAACTAAAATATTCATATTACTAAAGCTTAGTTGCCAGATAATACTTTTAAATGATGTGTTACGTGTAAAAAGGATATTATGTTATGTTTGTTAATAAATGTTTTCAGTGGATATTATTATGGTACCTACCACCACTAAGAGTTTTTTTTTTTTTTATATAGGAAAGAACCAAACCCTGGCCTTATCAATATTCAATGTCAACCTGATCATTGAATACAGAAATGAAAAATGGGTCATTACAGTGGCCTACTAAGGATGTTATATATATATTTTTTAATTCTGTAAGTAATTTTATTTATGACCAGACATGTTCATCACAGCATTGTATTCTTTTAAGTTAGTTATCAGACATCATTATTATAGTTTTGGAGTTATGAATTAAATCGTCATACTCAATACTTCAATGCTTAACATTTCTTTGTACCCATGGGCACAGAAATAAATTATTTTCGGTCAATCCTTGATCGACCTTACCAAAACAAAAACACACTCAAGCAAGATTTTTGTCTTAAAGAATAACATTCTAGCTGAACAAAAAAATTGAATAGTATCAATTATAAAAAAAATGAAATTATCTTTAGAAGACTAATATGAGATTGAATTATACAAAAATATTGTTAGGAAAAATTTAAACTAAAAAAAAAACTGATCATTGAAATAACCAGTAATGATTTTTAAAGTTAAAACTTTTGAAAAACAAAAATATGTTTAATTTAAACAAAATATGCTTTTATAGTTACCTGGTCATCCAAATACTCAGCTATCTGGTGCCATTCCGTCAGGAATTTCAAAAATTATGAAACTTTACAGCAATCAAATTGTACAACAGAATCCAAAATTCCGTTGCAACAGCTTTAACATAAGACATTGAAAAGTTTTTGTGATCTTGTAAATTAATTACTCTTTCAACAGAATGGTATCTCTGTTGATGAATCCAAATGGACTGAAATGAATTGCTAGAATAGGATATACGCAATGGTGTCCATTCGTATCACCAATGCTTTCTATCAAATCAAAATTAATTGTAATGATAAGTAATCCAAGACATTCAAATTGAATTTAGCTTTAAAATCAGTACAAACAACAGTGATTGTAAAACAGAAACAAATTATACTTTGAAAACTTAATGAATTTTGTAATTTGAAAAGTTTTCCCAAAGGATTTAATCTTGAAAATATTCAAACTTGAAAAAACATTTTGCATGCTTATCTAGTTTCATGTAGTTAAAAGTTTAAAACACTTTTAGTTTAACATGTCTATTAGCTGTGGGATGTAATTATATGATACATTTTTGTTTAGTAAATTATGTCCTTCTGATTTGATGGTAACTGTTGATTTTATTTTGTATTATTCGATAATTTACAGGAAAAAGTAGCCTACTTGTTCAACGCTGAGTTGTAGCAACTGTACAACAAACATTAAGAGATTGTACTGGGATTTGTTTAAAATTTGAACAATATTTCCACTAAGACAGACTATAAATTTTAAGTTTAAAGAGTTTCATTTTTTCGGTACAAAAATGTACGCCTAATTTATTGGTTTTAACTGCCAGTGGTTGGAAATGAAAACTGTGATTAATACAAATTTTACAAGCATTTTGGGAATATGGGACATGGGTGAATAATCAAATCCATCAAAAATATATTAGATTGTCTACATGTATTTTACTACAATTAAAAAATCTTATCGGCTTAATTTACAATGAGATTTTATATACCCTGAAGATATTTATTTGTACTTATTGAGATTGTGTTGGATTTCAGTTAATTTTTATAGCTAAACCAGTTATTAACAACATTTTTGCCATACTGCAGCAGAAACAGCCGTTAAAGGGGGGTCTACATGCAAGGATTGTGCGAACGTTTTATCTGCGCAGGTAAAACGTTGCAGTCAAGTCGTTGCAAAGAAATGCATCCACACGGTATAGGTTTCAGCTACAACTTTTAGTGTAGTTTTGTGATAACGTTCAGTGTATGTGCATGTAATATCAAGGAAGATGTGTTTATGTGGTCGATTTCTGCAGCCAGTGTTACAAGAAAGCAAAGAAATAAGTCTGAGAGACTACGACGCTCACTATGGTCAAGACGTTGGTTACTAAAAAGACAACCAATTTCATAATAGTTTCTCTGTTCACATTTGAATCTACTGCTTTGTATTTTTCAAAAGTATCTAAGTCTTTTTCTTATCACAGTCACTATGTTCCTTACTCTTGACCCTCCATAAATTAAGGAAAACTTCTGTACAGTTCAATGAATTCATCAATAAAATCACGGGAACATTGGTGAAGATCTGCGATCGTAATTAAAAAACACACTTATACTTCTTGACAGCACATGAAGACAACACTACATATTGGGGTTTTGAGTGTGAAGACGGAGTTGAAACGGATGACAGTGTACAAACGCAACGACTTGTCTGAAAACGTTGTCAAAACTATGCTCTCCCCAATAGTTTTATCGCTCCGTCTTTCGTCTCCGCGCAGTTCTCAAAAATGCACAGTTTTGCGGTACACACGCAATGATTTGACTGCAACGTTTTACTTGCGCAGGTAAAACGTACAGGTAAATCCTTGCGTGTAGACCGGCCTTTATACATGCGTTGCGGGTCTAAAGTAGCTCTTTTCTCCCTAGGGAGTAAAAAGTGTGTTTAGAGAATGGAATGCCCCGGAATGAAGAGAGTAGGAGTTTGTTCCGTTATTTATCCATGTTTTAAACATTTCTGTGGATTTAAAAAAAATGGTCTTTTCTGTTAAAATCACAGGATTTACTCATATTGAAAAGTACCCGTATTAGCAAAATTGAAAAGAATTTGGAAGTAGTTTTTTGGGGTTATCTTAACATGATTGTTTTCTAACATGGTTTGCTGGTGCAATATGACAAAAAAGTCTATCACAGGGGCAAAATGTATCTTTTCAACCCTCGCTCATTTTCCAACTTCTGCTTTGCCTCAGTCATAATCTTGAGCTGTGATTGAAAAGAGTAACTTAACACCCTAGAGACGAAATATACTATTATGTATCAGCTGTACATCAACTGTGCAAAACTTTGTTAAATGGCAGTGAGTGGTTCTCATTTGTACTTTAGACATACTGTTCATTCACAAGTAAATAGGTTGATACATGTGTGTAATAACATGTTGAATAATGTCCATATCTTGTCATGTATTTTAGTTATTTTCAGCCTTATTATTATTGCAAAGGCATCTAGCTAAAAATAACTTTTGTTAAAATTTTTAAACAAATAAGTCAATATATAATAAGTTCAAAGTCATTAAATGTAAAAGATTATGAACACACTGCATATAATGGACTGATTCACAGAAGAAATCCAGTAAAAAATTTAATATAGTACTTCTAAATAAAGAATTGTAGAAGCCCTGAGTCTACAACTGATAAATATATTTGTTTAACACATTGAAATGGTATTTGATTTTTTATATGAACAAAACCGCAATCCACACATTTAGTTTTAATACTAAACAAAATATCATCTGAATTAATTTAGAACTGAAATAATTTTCAATTCTTCTATTATTAACTATATTATTGTAAAATTAAAAATACAAAACGATGCTTTACTTCACGTCATTTCAGAATTTTCGAGTATACAACTGATTAATTATTAAAATGATTAAATGTTATTTTATATTAATAAGAACACAGTACACACACATAGTTTTAATACCTCAACTAAACCACGTATTCTATAAATTAGGATACTTAAGAACAAAAATAATTTTCCTATTTTGAACTATAATTTTTTAGGTTTATAAATAACTGAGGTAGTTCTCAACTTACACACAAAGTCAAATGCTAAAATCCTAAATGGCTTGATTAAACATTAAAATACTTTTAATTTTCACAGTAACAGTGAAAATATATATTTAGTTAAAACACAGAAATGATATTAGAAACCATCAACTACATTTACGAATGATTACATCAACCCTTGGCCTTTAAAAGCAATACTTCACATAATAAGCAATCCACAGTTAAAACTAGATTTATAGATAAATCTAAGAAAATCACTTTAATTACTTCTCCTCCGTTTTATCCTTTGGGCGTTGCTCCAAACATGATTTGATCAACATCCTGCAAAAAATAGATTATGTTAGTAAGATTTCAAGATGGGTAGAAGATTTAGAATACAGAAACAAATCAATGAAAATAATTGACCTGGTCCTAATTACAGAATCATAAACAAACTAGTTGTACAATGCATATGTCTGCTTGCAATATTGAGCGGAACAAGTTATTATTATTTCATAATTATTATTAGTTTTTTAGAGGCTTACTGTAAGAAAGGACCATGTGGTTCTAAGTTCGCCTCAATAAAGAAGCATTTTCATTTCAACAAGTTTATTAATTTAGGAAATGTAACCACAAATTGATTGTTCCCAATAAACTCGGGTTCACATAAATGGGAAGTATATTTACAGTACCCAAAGTCAATGGGAGGTCTACATGCAGTATCTACAATGATACAACTGGTTCACTTCTATGGAATATCTAATTGCAGTATCTAAATTCAATGCTGCATATGTTTCACATAAATAGAAAGTCTAATTGCAGCCAATGATCTGATTCACATAAATGAGATGTCTACTTGCACAGATTTTGAATTCATTAATTAGTACATCTGGTTCACGTGGGTGGGATGTTTAATTGCAGTGGTACACATATGGTTCACGACAATAGGACATCAACTTGCAGTATACAAAGTAAATGATGTATATCTGTTTCACGTCTATGGCATTTCTACTTGCAGTATCAAAAGTCAATTTCACATCTGATTTTAAGTAAAATACCCCCTCTGCAGCAAACCTGCAGACTAAGCGAATTTCAACTTGTCTGATTACATA